AATAAATATATACATTTTTTTCCTTAAAATATAAGAGATATTTTTGAAAACAAAGAATCTAAAACAATAAATTATATTAATAATTAAATTAGTTTTACTAAATTTTTTTTTTTTAACATGAATAGACCCTATATATAAACAGACAAATAAATAATCAAATTATTTTAATTAAAAAAATTAAATAACTAAATTACAATTAAATACAAATTATTATTAATATAATTTAAAATATTATAATTATTTTAATTATTAATATAATTATTATTATTAATATAATAATAATAATAATAATAATAATTTATATATTTATTATTATGATTAAAAATATTTTAATTATTATAATTTTATTATTAAAATAATTATTACTTATATTTTCTTATATAACGTGATTTCTAACTTTTCCTTTCTTGCTTTTTGTAAGGATGAAATCTTATAATGATGAAATTTTTTTCTCAGAAAATGCAAAAAAATTTCTAAATCGAAAAATCGAAACTTTCATTACGAGTTCTTGATCCAAACAAACGCTTAGGGTTCTTACTTTAAGAAAAATTAATAAAGATAATATTAATAAAAATTTATTAAATAATTAAATTAATAATAAAATAAATAATTAATTAAAATACTTAATTAATTAATAATAATAATAATAAATAATGATCATAATAAGTACTAAATATAATAATAATAAGTTGCAAAAATTGCAAATTTTTTATTAATGGATAACATACTGATATGATAATAATTAAAACAAAAGTAATGAACTAAACTTAAATGCAATGGTAATAATTAAAATGAAAGTAATGAACTAAACTCAAATGCAATTAAGTTGTCATATGAATGAAATTGCGTATGAGATGGAGCATTTAAAAACTTGGCCATCACGCTTGACCATAACGCTTTCAACCATAAATAGTCTTGGTTTACTTCTTAAACAAAAATGCAAAAATGGAAATCCAAAAAAAGTTAATGAATTTTGAGACCATGAGAAATAAAAAATAAGTCCCTTCACATAAATTATGAACATTTATGAACTCATTTATTGTAAGATTTAATTAATTAAAATATTTTAAAATGTTTCTTTCCCATTATCATATGCATTCATTATGCGTTCATCATTTAAAGGAAGATCAAATTAAAGTATATATATCTCAAATTTAGGATGAATTTTAAATATCTTTTTATATATTTTATTAAAAAATATAATATTTTTTAAATATTTATTTATATTTTTTAAAATATATTTTTATAAATAATGTCATCTTAATAATCACTCAAATTATTATCCAATTTTGTAAAAGTACGTAATTTTTAAGAAATACAAGATGATTAATAAATAAGAATAATAAAATAAGTCAAATCTAATAAATTTCACCCTTAAATTTGGGATAATAAATTAATAGTTTTAGTTTATCAATTTATTTTATTTAATTTTTTTATCTAAAAGACTAAGGATTAGATAGAATAGGTTATCTTGCTTCTCCGTTTTTTTTAAATATTTATATATACAAATTAAAATAAAAAAATTTATAATTAAAAATATATTTTTTATTATATTTTTACTATATAATAATGTTGTAATTTAAATTATAAGTATTAATTAATTAAACTTAAATTATTATTATAATAGAGTATTTTAATATATAAATGTAATAATTTTTAATTTATATAATAAAAATATTAATTAATAAATAAATAATTTAAAATTATATATATAATAAAAAATATATTTTTAAAAATTAATATAAAATAATATATTTGTTAGTTGATGAATCTATTTTTTAATAAAATGAATTAAAATGTGTAATTCGTTAGACTTCACTTAATTTTAACATAATAAAGAGGGATAGATTGATCTGTTTTATTATCTATTTTTATATTAAAATTATGATAAATAATTCAATATACTAATATAATTAAATATTAAATTATTATTTAAATTAATAAATTTTTTTAAAAGAAAACAAAAAAATAAGAAAAAGTGGTTCATTCTCGATCACTTACTGTCTCCCACAAAATAAAATAAAAAGTGTATTTGTATGATATTATAAATTTATATTGTATATAATGAAAACAACTTATATAAATTATTTTTTATTAAATTTTAGATAGATATTTTAAAAATATTTCGGATGATTCTTATAAATATGTTTTATGTTAATAGTTTACAAGTTTTGTTTTTATATATTTTTTTATAAAGCTCATATTTTATAATTTTTATTTATATTCTACTTAACAATTTAAAAACAATGATTAAATATTAATTTTATATAATTTACAAGAGATTTTAAATTTTTGATAAATATAAAATTTTTAATTTTTTTACAAAACTAATTTCTTTACAAAAAGTCATATGATCAAAATTAAAATAAAAATAATTTTATAAAAATTTTAAAATATTTAAAAAATATATTGTATATCTTTAATATAATATTATTGTTATTTTGTAAATAAAATAGAAATATAAAAATTTATACTTTCAGAATTAAAAAATATTAAATTTATTTTGTTTTAATAAATATGATTTAAGAAGTTTTGTAATAAGATAATTAACAATGTTTAGATAAAACAGATTTTGTGAGATTATTTTTTTTAATCTTTTCTCATTTTTATTGTTAAATAACTTTCTTACAAAAATATCTTTGTTAATAAATAGAGTAGAAACTCCAACATAATTACTTAAGGCATATGTGGAAATGTTCTTTAACAAAATATAATTTTTTAGTTTAATTGGGAATAAAAGGCCAAATAATATATTCTATGTGTTTTGCATATATCTTAAAAACTAAAGAAAAAAATAAATTTCTTATTGATAATTTTTAATCAAATTTTCACTAAACAAATTCGATATCACTAGCGTACTATTAAATTTATAATTCAAAAATAACATCATTTTATCAATATTTACCTCACTAGCATTATTTTCAGATTTTTTTTCAATAACATGCTATTAAATTTATAATACGTAAATAACATCATTCTATTTACCTTATTACACAATTTTCAAATTCACTAATTACTATAATTTTTAAAATAAAATAATATTTATTTAATATAAATATATATTTTGTATAGAAAATAAATATATAATTATTATATATATTTTTAAAAAATTATTTATATAATTATATGAAATAAATATAAATATTTTTTTTAAATAACATAAAAATATATTTATATAATTATATTATTAATATATTTTTATAAATATAGTAAAAACAAATATATTTAATATATATATATATATATAATGTTTAAATATTTATTTATATTTTTATAAATATAATAAAATTTAATAAATACATTTTATTATATTATTAATATATTTTAATAAAAAATATTTTAATATAATTTTATAAAAATATAAATAAATATTTAAACACTATGTATATATATTAAATATATTTGTTTTTACTATATTTATAAAAATATATTAATAATATAATTATATAAAAATATTTTTATGTTATTTAAAAAATAATATTTATATTTATTTCATATAATTATATAAATAAATGTTTTTAAATATATATATATATATATAATATTTATGTATTTATTTTCTATAAAAAATATATATTTATATTTAATTATTATATTTAATATATATTATTTTATTTAAAAATTATATTAATTAGTGAAGTTACAAATTATGTAATAAGATAAATGTTGATAGGATGATGTTATTTCTGTATTTTAAATTTAATAGCATGTTAGTGAAAAAAAGTCTAAAAATGATGCTAATTAAGTAAATATTGAACTAATTAGATAAATATTGACAAGATAATATTATTAAAAAATCAAACAAATTCTCATGGCTCATGATAATCTAACTTTCTCAATTCCAATTCATTTGGCTATTAATATATCATATTACTCTTACTAAATTATTTATTATAGCAATAAATTACAAACAATAAAACATCAGGGTTTGATTTATAGAGATTTATAAATATTTTCAGAGATTTTTTTATCAATAAAATAAAATATAATTATTTTAAAAATTATAATTGTTAATGTTCATTGTTTATTTTAAAAAATTATGATGTGTTCGAATGAAAAAAAAAAATTATTACATTAATAAAATGGAAACTTGATTTATATTTCACATCATTTTTCATCAAAATGTATCTACCATAACACAAATGTTTCTTCAATAGTTAAAAATTAAATAAATATTTTCAGTCAGATTAATAGACAGATGTAAAAGTTTAAATTTGGCTGATTTTTTTTTTGGAGGAAATGACATTTTCGAATATTGTTTTTGAGAGCAATTTTTTTTTTAAAAAGGAGAAATTTCCAAAATGAATAAAGAAACAAAAAGAAGAAGGAAGGTTCTAATAAAACACCGCAAAAGAAAACGAAAAAGAGGCTCTCCTCACTCCTTCTCTCGCAATCCAAACCCGCCCCAATTTTCTTCTCTTTTTCCCTACAAATATGAATCCCTCTCTCACATTTTCTTCCACCTTCCTCTTCCTCTTCTTCTCTTGGTTTTGCACCTTTCTTCCTCCTTTGTTTCCTTTCTTCAACACACACCACTTTTTAAGGTTGTTAACTGCTTCCTCTATACCTCCTTCTTGCTCCTTTTTTTCCCAGTTTTTCTTTTTTGTTGCCAGTCTCAACCTCTTCCAGATTTCAGATTTTGTCGCATTGCGACCTGGGTTTTATTCTTTTGATCCTCCTCTTCTCATAGCATCGTCTTTGCTTCATCTCCGTCTCTGGGTCTTTTAAATATATGTTTTTTATTTGAATTTTTAATTTGGGTTTGTTGGACCTGCTGGAGTTCTTGATGGTTTTTGGTTTTAAAAAATATATTAAAAGTTGTGTTCTAATTTTTCATGGTGAGGGATAAGCGAGATAAACTAAAAGGAAAAAATCTTGGTGAAGTCCTGTCACCTGTTTCTATAGGTTGTTTTTCTGGAAGGTGGGTAAATCCAGGCTTGTCCCTGTAAAAATTTTCACTGAGGGTATTTTGGCTGTCGATTTTTTTGTTACAACTTGTAATGTCTGCTAATGTCAATGGAGTTTCTGCTCTGTATTTTCTTTACAATGAAAGTTTGAACATATTGTTAGATCCCTTGGGAATTTATATGGTATTAATCTCTATTTATGTTTTTTTGGTTCAGGGTTTAGCTTAAACCAGGATTGTGGGCACATATTTCCTTATGGTGGGCATTCCTCTTTCCCTGTTATTTCATTAAGGATTGGAATGATTTTTTCAAATGCGGGATCAAGGTGGTTTTGCTTTACTGTGTCTAATCTCTCTTTGGTTGTGATTACCAGGGAGAAGCACCGGCATTGCTTGTTGATGACCTGCAGGATGGGGCTCAGAATGACCGTGAATTGAAAAACGGAGCTTGCAAAGCGACTGCTACCGTTGGTGATAAGACGGTGAGTTTAGTCAATATGCCATGAATTTGAAGATAATATGTATTTATGTTGTTGCTCATAATAAAATTAGTGTCTAGCCAAATCATCTGCCTAAAGCAAAAAATGGGCCTCCATTTTTTTGACAGTACGTCATTGGTGGAGCTGATGATGGAATTTTGTCCATTGAAGTTCAAATTTTTGACCGTAATCGTGGAGAATGGTCAGTTTAAGGTTTCTCCGCTTCATAGCTGCCTCTCACATGCTTTGTTGCTGATATATATTTGAAATTGCAGGGTTCGCCCCACTGTGAGGGGCATCAAACCCATCTGGAGCAAAGGTCTTTCAGCAGTGCCTTTGGAAGACAAAATACTAATTCTTAAGAAGGGTTCTAAGCCAGATGATCAAATATGGTTCCTGGAGGTTGGTGTTTGCCATATGCAATCCTTGGCATATTCATTTTGTAACAAAATACTAACCACAGTAGTTTTCTAATTATTGGCCAATATAAGTTAAACGTCTCGTGTTCTCGTTATTGCCAGGTTGGCACTCAATATGTTAGGCAGCAGCAAGAATATTTGGGAACTGAGGTGGTTGCATGGAGTAAAGGCGTGGTAGGAAATGCTGAGAAGCCTGTTGTTATTAGTGGTCCTTCTGGAGTAGGCAAAGGAACATTGATAGCAATGCTTATGAAGGAGTTTCCATCTATGTTTGGTTTTTCTGTGAGCCACACCACCCGTGCTCCAAGAGGTACGGAGAAAGATGGGGTCCATTATCATTTTACTGAAAAGAGTATAATGGAGAAAGAAATCAAAGAGGGAAAGTTTCTTGAGTTTGCTTCTGTCCATGGTAATCTCTATGGAACTAGTGTTGAGGCTGTGGAACTGGTAGCAGATGCAGGGAAAGTAAGTAGCTTCTGCTTAACTATTATTATAACTCATTTTATTGGAGCCTTTGTTATTATGCCTGTAATATCATCTCGACGTTGTAAGATTGTTGTCCTTTTGGTATTATTTTTAACCTCTCTTATCTGATATAATGTTTTTTTTTTTTTTTTTTTCTATTGTTTCAGAGATGTATTCTTGATATTGATGTTCAAGGTGCAAGATCTGTGAGGGCTAGCTCTCTTGAAGCCATATTCATCTTTGTATGTCCCCCTTCAATGGAGGAGCTGGAGAAGCGTCTTCGTGACCGGTGAGTTGTTGCAACTTTGTGATGCTTTTTAATTCTCAATCAGACCATGATTTTGTGCTAAACTCAATACTTTGAAATCAGAGGGACAGAGACTGAAGAGCAGATCCTGAAGCGACTACGTAATGCAGAGGCTGAGATTGAGCAAGGCAAATCTTCTGACATATTTGATTTCATCCTATACAATGACAAACTTGATGAGTCTTATGAGAGACTTAAGGTAATTGTTTCTAAAATGAAGACCTCCATAATATTTGAGATGATGCTTCATGACCATTAATTTTCCTGACACAAAGTATCCATTGGTGCAGAAACTATTGGGACTTGATGATTTTATCGCTACACCTAAATCTGGTAGGAATTATTCTAGTAAAACACTATATATGGTTTCTTTTTTAAAGCCATGAAGATAAATTGATATATTTAATCTGTCAATGGAACAGGCCCTGGAGAGATTGATTTACCAATTGACCATTCCGTAACAAAAATTGATAACAAAATCATCATAAACCGCATCTCCTCAGGAGAGAAGGAAGCAAAGAATTTGTAAGCCTTCAGAGCAAAAGTTAGCCATTTGCACTAAAGTCTATCACACTGACTTTGTATTTGTCATTGCAGGATCATATTAGATGTTTCCTCACTAAATGGAGGTGCACCTGGACGAACAAGAGGCCTAAATTTCCAAGCCATTGGCTCGTTCTCAAATGGCTTGACCGGGATAGAGGATCTTAGCTAACATTCAATGCATTTGGCCAACTAACTACTTGGTTTTGAGAAAATGGGACACGTTATAAGGCAATTAGATTCACGTCTTCAACATTTTTTACCCTTGTGGCGTTCTTTGATTGTTATCACTATTGAATTGATTTTAGAGTTGTGGATCACTCAATTGTTATTTCCTGCACAAGCAATGGGATTATTTGTGTTTTTGCGTGTCAAAGAAAGGCAAAATGTGGTGTAAGTTTCTGTATTCCTCCACCCTTGGATAATATGAAGGGGCCACACAACATGAACAATTCAATGATGTCTGTAAGACATGAGGTGTTACACTATCCATATGACAATTCATTAATCTCAGTATGTTTTACGCATTCAATTTGTTGGGTACATGTTTTATGTCATGATCATCTTGATTAGATTCTAACAGTTGTAAGGCGTTAGTAATACAAACATCTATTTACTTTTTGAAACGACACTTTACTCCACTTAACTCACCAGTAGTGTTCCAAACCACCAAATGGCTCAGGAGTAAGTAGTCCTTTTAGCCCCTACATGTAGTCCGTGACTCCAATCATCTAGCATTGAGTAAAACAGTGCTAGAGCCTTGTCAACTTCCTGAACCTATTCTAAGTTTCTAACTGCTCAAAGCTATTTTCAGAACAGAACTGATAGAGATACTATCATAAATTGGGCGTAGGTTTAAATAATTAAGACCAATGGTGATATTAAATTATTAAATACCATTTTCTGGATTGAGCTCTCAGAAGAAAATTGTTGATCAAATTTTGTACAAAATAGTTAATTATGCAGGAGAGGTGAATTTTTTTGAACCATAACATCATGCCAAAATGTCATGCTAATAAAAAATAAACATGCTTGGTCATCTGGCACGGAGAGAAGATATTGTAGTGTGGGCAACTTCTGGAATCTTATGACATATACCGTTTAAAAGGAAAAGAAAAACGTTTTCTTCCTGTTACACGAAAAGCTTTGGCTGGTTTGTATATTTTGGAGTACGTGGACAAACTTGCAAATTATACTTCCAGAACTACTTTCATTGCAGTTTTGAAATTTCAAAACATGTTAAGAACATGACAAACACCCAAACCAAACTATACTGTTAATGTAAGATGAAGCCATGTTTCAAAGATCTTCATAGTCTAATTGAACTACTTGTGGTCAATGACAACTGACAGCTTGGTCCAAAGCAAAGTTGCAGGAGAGCTATCTTACATAAATGTCTGTGATTGAATTTCCATCCATTACAACCTTTACACGTATCACTAAAGTAACTAATAGTTACTTTTGCATGCATTAAGACGTGGTAAGTAGATTGAGGATGGTAATTTCCATCCATACACGTCATTGATAAAGTTTAAACTTCGAGAACATTGAAGCAGACATACGCTAAATTAGAATGAGGATACTATTTTCTGGTCATTACAACATTATTTTTTTTTATACTCACCTCTTTCTGTGATAATTTTTCTCTTTTCTTCCAAAATATATGCATTTCATGGTATGTGAAAAATATAACTTTGTTTTTACAACTTGGGGGACACAGTGAAGATAATAATTGAAAAGGTGGTTAATGCAGTTTTCAGTTGAGAGTTGTGAAGCAACAATGAAAAGTGGAGTCACGTCAACTAGTTTGGCTAAGAACACGATAATGGGTTGAGATACCGACATAAGACACAACACGAGGGATTGTGTCTTGCGAGGTGATGTGTCTCTGAAGGGTTGGGTACAGAAGGCTCTCACAGGTCGATTAGTTGGCCGATCCTGTGGTGGGTGCATTGCATTGCATTCCAACTTTTTAAACTCTTTGGCAATTGCAAGGTCACTATTTTTCCACATATTGTGATGATTATCATGGCAATAAGTGTACATTTTTATTTGTGGGTTGGGTTCGAGTTTGAACGAACGTGGAAAGGTAAGAATGAATGGGGCAAGTTTGGTAGGGCAGAGCAGAAGTAGAAGTCATGACCCCACAAATGGATGGTGGAGCAAGTTGGCATCTTTTGTACTAACTTTTGGGATGTGGGGATGGCGAAAGAGCTTTACGGACCAAGTTGGGTACGCACGTCACAATTGTCCTTCTATTTCACATAGGAATAGCAAAAGCAAAAACGAACACTTGGGCTATGCTGTGAATGGGTTACTTGTAAAACAACACCCATTTTTACATGCCATAAATTCTTTTACTTGTTTTTCAATTGCATAATTCACATTTTAATCCCTCTCCTTTTTCATATAATTTTTATTTTCTTAAACTAATAATGTTTGGAAACATCTAAGTTTGATTCATCACTCCACAAAAACTCCATTCTTCGTTTAACTATAAGTTATTTTATTTTGAAACTAAACCACTCTCTTTATATTATTATTATTATTATTATTATTATTATTATTATTATTATTATTATTATTATTATTATTATTATACCTGCTTGAATAATAGATCACGTCAAACAAATAATTAATCAAGCTACATGATGTCATCTCAAAATATGAAAAGGATATTCTTTGATATAATAAGGATAATAATCTTATGAATTTGAGTAATTACTTAAATATTACTCCATAAAAGGTTTGGTACTCCCTTAATTCAACTTTAAGTAATTTTTTCTATACTTTACATTCATTTATTTATTTACTTAAGTATCTAGAGAGCTTTAATAGTTTCCCCTTCTACTTCAACATATATTTTCCTTACACCAGCAGAACCTAGGGTTTAGACGAGACAAACATCAAGCTCCTCACCTCCAAACATGGACATAACTGCTATCATTATTAATCTCAAAACGTATATTGTAGAAATGCAACAATAAAACAAATGCCCAACTACAGGATAAGTTGATTGCCTTATGTGACAACAATAAGTAGATGCGTGTCACTCTCATGACCATCAAGAAAAAAGCTAATCAAGACCAACAGTGGTAACAAGAGGAATTGATAGCATTACGTGTATAAATAAGAGAAATTGTGCGAGTTTCAAATGATCATCAGAAACAAATTAAGAATGGGAAGAGACCGATTGCAACAACAAAATCTCATTCATATTTTAAGCACAAGAGAGCACGCGAAAGGAACGTTTGGACTCCCAACATTTGTCTAAAAAGACAGAAAATATTTGAGCGTATGATTTCCTCCCGAGTGGATACGTAAATACACGTCAACATACACAATTCTCTAAACATATGTATGAGTATCCCTTCATAGTTGGAATAATGATTGTCAGCTAAACGCATCAACATACATAACTCCTATAGTGATTTTAGACATTGAGAAACATATATAAGCATACCTTAATAGTCGATGTATATTCTAATAAAAACTTCTTTAAGTGTATAATTTTTCCAACTACACTTAGAGGAGTCACATTCCAATGATCTACCCAAGAGACTAATTGTCTCTTTTGATGATTTGACAAGTAGGCTTAGAGCTTAGTTTTTAGCAACTTGACCTCAAATAGCCGATTAAATTTTTTTCGAAAATATTAAACAAGCAGTGACGGATCTTGATTATTGATCTTGGAAGGGTCAAATAATATATTATTAATAAATAATAAATAAATATAAAATAAAGTAAGAAGATGAAAGAGTGAAAGGATAAAATTGTAAATATATACTTAAATATATTAAATGATCATTAAGTTTGAGAGGGACAAAATCATAAATGATATGAGGGTTACAAAACTTAGGAGGGACTGGGAGAATAAAATTATAAATATACAAGTAAATATATTAAATGTTCATTAAGTTTGGGGTGACCAAAATCATAAATTACATGGGAGTTACAAAACTTTGAGGAGGTCACGACCCTTCTCAACTCTCAAGAAGATCCACCACTATAAACAAGGGAAGAAAAAAATATTATGCAAGTTCTTACAAAGATTGACCATTGTCCACCTCACAATATCCAACTTAGAATATGCTATAATGATGCACACTATCATGACTTGGCTACACACAAGACTATTCTTAGAGAGCTTATACCTAGGGTTGTCAAAATAGGCTTAGTCCGATGGGACAACCCAAAAAATAGGTCAAGTTAAGCAAACAAATTTATGGCTTAAATAAAACCAGGTAAATTTTGCCTCAACCTATTTAAACCAGACCTAAATGGGTTTAGGCCGGACTAACCCGTAAGCTTATGAGCTAATCCATTTTATAGAATAATAATTATTCTACCAACAAAATAAATGTAATATTATTTTATTAAAAAATATATGTATAATAAATTATTTTATTTTGTTATATATATATATATATATGTGTGTGTGTGTATAATTTAGAAAGAATAATAAATTATAAACATAATTTTTATTTGCTTTGGTCATTTTCTTCCTCTCTATTACTCGTCGTCACATTTGTTTTTAAGGACAAATAATTAAAACAACATATTCTTAAATGTAGTGTATTTAAAAAATATCATGACGTGACAGTTATGTTACTAGTTTATTGAAGTAATAAAAATATGACTTGTAAAATTTACGACATACACTTGCTAGATGCATTATTAAGCATGATCTTCAATTTAACTATGTTGAGTATGATGAAATTTGGGAGGTAAATAAATTTTTGAATTATGATTTCAAACAAATTACTATAAACACTTCAATTATGATTTATAAAGTGTATTGAACAAAAAAAAACTAAAAGACGCATTATCTAATATTTCGATAGGATATTATAAACCAATTACTAGAAACATTTCAATTAAAGATGTTTATAACGTGTATTTAACTGAAAAGAAAAATTTAAAAGATATGTTATCTAATATTTCTATTAGGATATATATTTAACTCAAGGCTACATTATCATTTTTATGATTTTATTTTTGCTTGAATACGTTATGAGTTAATTTTCAATAAACAAATGAATGATATATTTTTTATCAAACAAAATTAAAAAAATTATATAAATAAAAAATATATTTTTAATTAGGCTAAAAATGGCACTGTTAGCCCGTTAGTCTAATATAGGGTCAGGTTAGGCCAAAATTTTTAGCGCGTTTTAAAATATAGGTCAGATTAGATTTATTACTTGGCCCGAAGAGCCAGACCAGACCAGACTGGACCACCCGTTTTGACAGTCCTACTTATACTTAAACTAGCCAAAAGATATTGACGAACTAAGGACTCAGACATAAAACTATGTTCACTTGGAGAAAAATGTTAAATTGAGAAAAATAAGAGAGGAAGAGTTTGATTAGGTAGTAGTAAAAACTCAATCAAGCAAGCGACCAAAATGAATCAAACATAACAATTATAATTCGCTCAATGCTCTTGATAAGTGATCCTACGTGAAGTACAAAACCTGTAACTAACAACACCACCTTAATAATCCTACATTGCACCTAATGCATATAGAACAAATAAGTGTGTGTATTACTAGAATTATGGTCACAATACGATAGATTCTTCGAACCTGCGAAACATCATAGGAGAACAAATCATGTATAGAAATCTAACCCATTACATCCAGTCAAATATTAGACGAGGTCAGAGAGATTTTCAAGGACGAGAATGTAATTATTTAGGTGATAGATGAGAGTATCAACCATAACAAAACAACCAAGAGAATACTCTAGTGTCAGACTCCCAACAATCATATTCTCAAAAGAGGATTATGATAAGTATGACCCAACTCAAGATGATCCAATCGTTATTACAGTCACCATAACTAATTGCGAGGTTAGAAAAACTTTGATAGACTAAGAAAATTCTACTAACGTATCATATTGGTCTATGTTTCTCAGGCTCAAAGTGTCACCAAACTTGATATAGCCATATCTAAAGGTATATTGACTTGCTAACCACCTTTGGTACATAAGCTCAATATAGTATAATGGTAAGATATATCTTGATAGAGGTGGATACATTGTACAACATACTTATTAGGAGACATACATAATGAATAGTTGGGAGAAGTTATGTCAACTCCCCACATGACAATGAAGTTGCCTTCTATAGATAAAAAAAATCACCTTTACTTTGAGATCAGATCTAAGAGAAACCCAAAAATATTACACCAAAAGTTTGAAAGTATAACCTATTTCGTGCTAGGAAAGTCGAAAGAAATGAGTAACACCAATTAAGCAACAAAACAATGTGGAACAAGTCGACCTTAATCCACATGTGAAAATAGATGAGAATGATCCAATTTTGCCAAATAAATGTCTAATTTTTAAATTAAAAAAGATATAACCGAATTGACACACATCAATCATGTTGCAAATACAATCATCCACAAGTAAAATTGTGAAGTACAAAATGACAAACTTATAACTCATTCACCCTCATACACCATTTGTATATTACTCATTTTTTAAGTTAAGGGTATTAATGTATCTACCTTGATAAAAGACCATGTTCAAAAAGTAACTAATCAAACCACACGACACCACTTGAAATATTAGGAGACATTATCTGGTAATGGAGATAATAATCCCATAAATTTTAAGAAGTTATTTGAATATTATCTATAAAAGGTTTAACACATCTCTTTATTATACTTTAAATAATTTTTCTCATATTCTATATTTATTGAGTGACTTAAGTATGAGAATACTTTCACATATAATTCCCTTCCATTTTGATATATATAACCACAATTCTAAAAATATGTGACATAATTTAATTAACTTCTAAATCAACGTAAGAATAGTTTTAAATATATATTTTTTCTAGCAACATTTTTTAAAATTAAACTATCTGATTTCACGAAAAAATAATAATCATATATATATATATATATATATATATATATATATATATTAAATAATTTATTTTCAATTCGTAATATTTGAATTTACAATCCCACTTAAGAGAAATAAAAATCGTTTGGTGATGATAATCAATGAAATAAAAACTCCCACCTCAACCACCCTAGGAATGTGAAATCCTTACGAAGTTATGATTAAGGTGTCAAAATAACTAGTATTCGTGTTTAGGAAGTTATCTTTTGTTTATACAGAGTTGTCTTTTAGTTTACTGGGAAGTTTTTCTATTCTCAGGATCTATAACCTCGATCGGTAATATTTTTTATTCTATCATGAGTAATGTTTTCATAAATAAATCGAATAATGTGATTATAAATAATTATCCTCAATAAACAATGTTTTTTTTAATTAGGGTATGTGATAAGGCATTTTATTATTAACGAACCAAATCAATTTAAATCACAAGTTTATTAAGTTTTTTAAACTGTCTTAATCACTTTACATTAGGAACGAAGTTAAGATTGTTGTTTTCGAGCCCGATCTGTATGATCTAAGCACTATTCAACTGTCCTTCTTGGTCTTACCCATTCGCATGTCCTGGAATATATGGGTAATTGCTTCTACCACTTCCATAATTTCTTTTCACACCTTTTACTCATCACTCTGAAATCATGAAAATAATATTTTAAGAACTTTATATTTTTCAGAAAATACAATTCGGAATATATTAAAAATTTTCAGATTACATGTTCCCTGAACAATCAAAAAAATAATCCTCTTCTATGTACATATAAATTTCAGATACCCGTTTGTAATGGAAAATAGACAAATATGTCTACCAATTCTAGTGTTCAAACTCTTTTTTTATTCTTTCATCAAACATCAATTTTGAAGTTCCAGAATATAAAAATGAAAAATTAATGTGATATATTTTCTTTTTTCTGATATTTTGACAAAAAAAATATTTATTTAACAATCCACTTTTAAATTTTTATATTATTATCTATATATTTTATTTCATTCACACCATCAATCAATAAAAAAAATAATATTTTAAGACTATTTATAGGTTGTCAACAAATTTTTTTCCATTTTCTTTTACGTGGTTGGTTCCACTTTCACGTACCATTTACCTTTTTTATTTTCTTTTGTTTTTAGTTGATAACTTTAGTGTTTAGGGTTTCTTACGTAATAATAAGAAAAAACACAAATTGAGAAATCTATTTGCAAACCCATCTAAACCATATTTTCTTTGCACAATAAAAATACTTGTGCAAAAGCTAATTATGTTATAATATATAATGGAAATTACCGTCCGTGATGTAATTAATTTATATTCCATCAGAAAGCAATTCATCTTTGGATTCTCATTTTGCTGCTGCAGGTGCTGCTGTACTTTTACTTCCATTTTCTATTCTTTTTTTAGCACTGTCGAAGGTAAGGATGACAATGATAATAACATTCAGCATTTTAATTTACCGCTCAGGTTTATTCTTTGTAACAGAAATGCAACTTTAATCATATAAAGTAGAGTGGAGGGTTCTGAGTACATGCATCTAAAGAACATATATACCTATCTATAATAAGACAGAATTAGACTTCTCATAACAAAGATTATAGCTGCATTATGTGTGGAGGGCATTGATCAGCATCGTACAGATGACAAAAAGAAGTATGAAAAGAGATATAAGGACCAGATATGAAGGAATATTCAAAATCAAAAAGCATTCACTTCCACATTCAAAAGTTGCTTTTCCTCATTCTTTATATATGTGTGGAGATAGCACTAGCAAAAGAAAATTAAGATTATTAGACTAGTTTAACTTTATAAAAATACTGTATATATGAACACATATTCACCAAGCAAAGTGTGTATTAATCAATCAACTCATAGTAATAATACAAATTACATTGGCTAAGCCAAACACAGCAATACATATAATTTCCTAAAGGGCTTTTAAGTTATATGATGCAAACTGAAACTGCATGCCCTTCTACAAGTTCATACCCTGAGAAAGGTAGATACATTGGATAACTGATAAAAAAGAAGCCTCATGGTTTAGAAATTTTGATTTTTTTCACCACAGACCAGCCAACAAAACCAAAACCAGAAAAAATTAATAAAAATAGTCAGGTCTAATAATTAATAACATTCAGAGGATGGAAGTGCACACTGCAAAATAGTCATAAACTTTGTCTCTTCATAGGATCAGCAATTTTGAGAATCAGCTATTGAACTGAATTTCATACTTTCTTGGAACTAAACTTGAAGCTTCAAGCTGAAAAATGTTTGAATGCAGAAAAGAAGAACAACTCTATATCTGGGGAAGCAAAAAAGGTCATTGGTGATCTATTGGTTGAGCAATTGGGAATTACCAGTATTCGTCTCTTCTTTGGAGCAGGTGGACATGTTAGCACCTCTGGTATTCTGAACCTTTTAGCCTTTGGTGTAGTACAACCACTTGAACAAACATCTTCATCACTATCTTCCTCAACATTCCTAATTCCTTGTTGTTGGGAGCTTGAAGAAGTAGTAGCATGCTCACATACCCTTGTCATTGATCTTTGCTGCTTTGTCTGCCACTTGATTCGACTTCTTGTGGTAGAGGTTGATGCCATATAAGGTTCTGCCACAGCTAAATCTTCAAGGGTCCATGCTAGAACACTAGCACGGTTCTTTTAGGGAAAAGCTAAGTTTTTATATCTAAAGTGGACACAAAAATAAGACCCTTACTTTCTTCTGTTTTTTAGCCCAAACCAAGTGTTGTTGATAGAGAAAGTGAGAAACAACAGATTCATCACTCAGCTTAAAATACACATTCTCGGTCTGAAAAATTTCAGAGCATAAAACTATTTGAGAGGTTGAAAAGTTTCTTGGCCTGCCATGTAGATATGAAATCCTAAACTACTACATGGCAAAACTACTAACTAAGAAATTTAAACATTTATTGAAAGTGTTCAAACAAACGTTGATAAGATGGAAAACTCTCGAAGAACCTGAGCCAGCTATCACCCTCTACTATGAACTGGAAACACACCCTTTTTTCTCGAGGTTATATATAGGGTATAACCCTCATTTATGGTAGTGTTATTTAGGGGTGTAAATTAAGTTAACAAAGTGTGTTAAAAAGATACAACTTTTAATGGAAAAGTTAACAATGCAAGTAAAAAGTTAGAGAAGCTGCAGCCAAGGAAAGATCAAGCTTTTTAGAAAAACAATAGTTTTTTCTTTTGTTTCTAAACATTGGAGCCTTTTTAAGTAGAAGATTAAAGAGAAATTTTGGAATCATCTTTTAAATTCTCCTTTTAAAAGTAAGTTTAAGATTTTATGCTTAGAAATCACTTTAAATGTTAAAAATAATTATTAAAAAAGCTATACAATACCATATATGTACATGATAATAATCCATATCTAGAGGGTTGATTCTTCAACTTCTTCTTCCTTCTCTATATTATCTGTATATTGATATTATATCATCAGTTCATTTGATGGCATTCAACACCCATCAGGTGTCTTTGGGACGGTTAAAAATGGTAACTTCTTTTCATCCAATCTACAAAATTATCTAAGCTCTGAACTATTTTCGAAAAAATAAATTAACCTAGTTCGACAATATTATTATAACATTGCAATATATATGTCTTTCAATATAAACACAAATATTTATTTTTTTTAAAGGAAAATAAATGATAAATTTAAAATTAGATCAATATGATTAAGTTTAGAACGATAACATCTTTATTCTTAAATAGAATAATAAAAAATAGTTTTTTACAACCAATATTTATAACTCCTAAACGAATACGACAATTATTAATTTTTTTATAGATAAGTTTGGTATTGATTATGTTACATAGATATGAGTTAACTTTATTTAATTTTAATTAAAAAATAATTGTATTTTAATTGATGTGTGTATTATGTTAGAAGTGTTTTATATTAAGAACATGGGAATTAAAATATAAATATATTAAAATATTATTTGTTTTAAAATTGACGATTTCATTGTAATTTTATTTTTATCGATAGATTAAAAGAGAAATATATAGAGAGAGATTCAGCAAATTAATTCATAAATGAATCAATTTTAGCTTACGAAAAAATCAATTTCAATTTTTTTTTCTTATGAAAAAACAACTTAAGGTAGAAATTCCTCAAAACAAACATCTTAATATATTATATTTATCTTTTTATGTGTAGTATATTTGTCCTAAAAGTGACAAATTGGCAATTACAGATTCACACATAACCAAAACAAATAACCAAAGACATTGCTCAATCATTCAGTGCTCAAAATCAAATTCACGTTGATACCGCAAATGTCAAATGAACTTGATCTTCAAATTTACGGCCACTACTCTTACAAAGTTGAGAGGCAAAAATATTGGACATTGCTAATTTTTTTGACCTACATGTTTAGTCCCACTCCACTATAAATGTACAATACACTTTGAAAATGAAGGTAACTAAACATGTAAACGATAACAAGGTCCTAAAAATTCAGCTACTGAAACACTTATTCTGAACCATTCTCCTGTGGATCATCTTCCAGATTTTGCTAGACAAAGGGTGGTGGTGGTGGATCAACATTCAATGTACCATCTAGTACTCTCACTACCTCCTCCATAGAAGGCCTTCTACGTTCATCCATTTGAAGGCACCAAAATGAGACTCTTAATAAACGTTCAAGTTCCTCAGAATTGATAACACCATCAAGTCTTTTATCAACCAAATTAGTTTTCCTTCCTTCCATCCATTCAGTATATGCCCACTCACCAAGTTGTTCATCATTTTGACACCCTAATAACAAGGTTAATACCAACTTACCAAAATCCCTTACATCTTTCTCAGCTGAAAAGCCACAATATGCGGCCTTACCATCTACTATAGAAAACCCATATTCACTCACCTTGGCCACTGAGTTTTCATCGAACATGACATTCTCACATTTTATGTTACCATGACTCAGAAACTCCCTACACCCAGTGTGCAAATAACAAATGGCCTTTGCCACACTTGAGCATATTTCAACTCTCTTTCTCCAAGTTAACCTCTTGCAAAGAGTGGAATCCTCCATGTAGTTATCTAGAGAACCGTTCTTGGCATAGTCATACACTAAAAATCTATGACTAAACTCACAACAATAGCCTTCCAGCTTCATAAGGTTCTTGTGGTGGATGTTGCCCAACTTCAGAACAGCACTCCGGAACTTCCTTTCTTCTATGGATGCATCCAGGTCTTTAACCGCAACCAGGTGATTGTTTAGTAGCACACCCTTGAACATATTTTGCCCAATTTGATTCTTGAGATCCTCGGTCAGGCTCTTGATTTCTGAGAAGGAGAACACAATTAAGCCCTTTGGATTTGGGCTTGTCAAAGCTATCGCGACATTTTGCATAGCAGAGTTTTTTCTTCTGAAGATGATGAAAACAGTTACCAGCTGGAGGATAGCAAAGAAGAAAATTGTTCCTAAGGCTGCTCCCATTAGACAAGGAACACAAAGCTTAGGAGGTTGTTTCGGTGGAGGTGATTTTGGGAGACCAGGATTTACTGCAAATGGACCTGAACACCTTTTAACAAAAGATATTGTGCTTATAGATCGATCTGCATATCCAGTAACATACTTAGTTTTCTTTATGGAGCATTGTGGGAAAAGGTTGCAACTGTACACTGCGTGTCATTCAGACATAACTGCTCACATTGCTGCAAACTACTTATAACAACCGAATCATCAGGAGGATAAATTCCATACAAATATGTTTTCTTGTATGTAAGCATGCTGTATCCAGATTCACACTTGTATTCATATGGAATCAAACATTGGTTGGACTCACTTACGTCAAAGGGGCACCAGCAATCAGTAGAACCTGAAGCAGTGAAGACACAGACACCACGCTGACCACATGTTGCAAAGACTTTGCACTGATTCTCAACAGCTTGCCAAACTGATCTCCATGATTGTGAAGCTTCAATCCATGAATACAACCGGAGATTTCCGTCCACATCTAGCCTAAGAAATCGGTAATTCACAGAATCATTATGGTCATCTCCAAACACACTCCAAAAGGGTGTCAAACTTTTATCTCGAAGTTGCAAAGCTCCACCAGTCGTAAGAATTGCAGTCATATTTGAAGCAGAAGGAGGGATTTCACTTGTCCAATATATAATATTACTATCCCAGCGAAGCTGCAATTGACCAGAAGGATTCATGTAAAGAGTGTAGGAACTGGATGTGGCATTCTTGGTTGTAGCCCGAAGTATCTCATAAACAGATAAACTCTGTCCTGGAAGTAGTGTATCAGAAGGAGTATCAAAACTTTGCCAAATGATGTTTTGCTCTGTGTCTATCAGAACAAGATTGCCATCGTCATGAAGAGAAGCTGAAACAATAGCTCTGTTGCCAGTTCCACTCCTCCATTCAGTGGATCCTTTTAAGGAATCAAACAGGACCAGTTCCCCTTCAGGTGTGAATTGGAAATAGGACCTGTTACCCACTTTGACATTAGCTCCGGCAACCCAGACCACTGTTTGTTGGTCATATGGCATAGACTTTGAATTGAAACGAATGCCAGCACTATACTGGTTAGGTTCATCTGAAATGTTAAAGAACCCAAATGCGAAATCACCATTGGAGGAAAGCCAATAGTTCCTGTCAACCACAGAGAGTTTGGAACCCAATGGTATCAGAGCTGACACAACAGGATATAGCAAGAAGCCAACAAAAATACATAGCAACGATGGAGATCTAAAAAGACACTCCTCTTCAAGCATATTTACATATGTTGAAAGGGACAAATTAAGTGATATAAGGCAAATCCAATTACCCAACTAACATACAAGTGAAGGATGTTGAATTCTAACCTGGGCTAACACCTGTAAAGAGACCGGGTAAGTTTGTGTGCAGGACATGTGTTCAGCAGTGAAAGGATAAGAGCTCAATAGCACCGATTTCTAGGAGTATTTGGTAACGAACAATGCCAGGAGGAAGAAAGCAGACACAGTTTGTGTTACGCCCTTTGAGGGGTTAACGATTTTGTTCTGATCGTCGGAAATGGTGGATGAGCCGTGATATGACACAGTTTTTCTTTTTTTTTTTTCATTTACTTCTTATATTTGTTTCTATTTCATTTCTCTTGTTTTTTTTCTCTCATATCCTTTTTTTTTCTAAATTAAATTTTAATAAAAATATATTAAAATAAATATTTTAAAACTTTAATAAAAATATATTAAAATAAATATTTTAAATTCAACTTTCAAGTTAAAAAAATATCAATTAATTATTTAAAATTACAATGATAATATTTATTATTATGATAATAAATAATTTTATTTATGAAATAAATAATTAATTTAGAATTATTTTTATAATAAATAATTACTCATTTAATTAAACAAAATATTAAATATTTATGAATTAAATGTATTTTTTACTTAGTCGTTTAATTTAATTATAATTAAATTGAGTTATAATAATTAATTAGATTAAATAATTTTAAAAAATTATTAAAAAATTACTTAAAAATAAATATTTAATAATTATAACATAATAATAATATTTATAAGATATCAAATTTGTCATATAATATTTTTTTCAACACTCGTCTTATCAAATTTTAATTTAATATTTTTAATTGAAGAATAAGATGAATAAAAAATAAAATAAATTGGAAACACAATATATAAAAATAAATAAATAAAATAATGTGAAATAAATGAAAAAAAAATAAAGATATAAATGAAAAAAAGAGAGAAAAATAACTTTATTATTATATCTAATGAATTTATTTTTTCTAAATTTGTATAATTAGGAAATAAATTTTTAAAAATTCTATTAATTATTTTTTAATATAATATTTGTGAATTTTATTCTAAAAACTAATTAATTACTAGAAGAGTAGTAATTTATGGATTTTTCTTTTTAAATTGCATAACATAAACCAAACAATCCAATAAATACCATATTACCTCACTCATATATTTCTTATTATACAAAAATGCAAAATTCTGATTTAAGAAAAAAAAAGGTTTACAAAAAAAATAATAGCATAAAAACAACATACTATTCAATTTATAAAGTAATGTGATATGGGTTTATTTATTTAAAATTGTTTTAAAAAATAATAAAATAATTACTTATTATACTTTTTAATATTTTGAAGAAATTTATTTAAAAGAGTAGAAAGTATAACTAAAAATGTTTTTTTTTCATAGAAAAATTTTAATGTTTCCTCTCATAAAACAAATGTGATAGAAATCGAATTAAAAAAAAATATACAAAAAAGTTATAGATTCACTGAAAAATAAATGGTTTTTAATAGAAAAAAATAATAGCCACAAACAATGTCACCCTATATACAAAACGAGAGTAAATTTAATTTCAACAGGATAAAAACAGTAGTTAATATGTTTGATTTGATTCAAATTTATTGAATTTAGAGAGTATAAGTTCAATATCCAATCCAACTTTATTTGGATTCATTTCTATATGTAAAGTCTTCAATTTTTCACCTTTTATAATGATAAGTGAATGAAGGATAACACTGATATTTTCATGTTCTTGCGTGAATGTACAAAATACTCCATTGATCTTCCAAAATTGAAATCAACGTGATTACTAAGCACAAAATCATCAAATTGAAGTCGATCGTTATAAATAATTTCTCATATTACTTCAATGTTTTCAATCCATACATAGTGTGGCACGTAACTTATCTTGGTGGCCATCATAATAATAATAATAATAATATATATATATATATATATATATATATATATATATATATATATATAAATCTTTCACAAATTTTTAGATAAAATATTTGAAATAAGAAAAGAGTTTTTTTAAGTCATTCATCACACACATTCATTTATTAGAATTTGACAATTATACCATATTTTAAAATTAACATAGAGTCGAAAAAATAGTAAAAAATATTATATGAATCTTATAGTAGTTTTAAAATAAAAAATATACACATTCATTTATTAGAGTTTGACAATTATACCATATTTTAAAATTAACATAGAGTCAAAAAAATAGTAAAAAATATTATATAAATCTTATAGTAGTTTTAAAATAAAAAATATTTCATGTTATAGGGTAATTAAGAAGTGTTGTTAGACACGAATCTTGATTAATAAGTAAATTAATGAGTTAATTTATTATAAATTAATAAAATATCTATGAGTCACGTTAAAGAGTGTTACTATCTTTATTGGATAAAAAAAATATTATTAATTAAATTAAAGAGTTTAATTTTATTTAATTAATATTTTTGAAGGAGAATATTATTGTATTTTTTACTAGCATAAAAAATATAATTAATATAAAGATTTAGTTTACTGATAAAATAAAATATTTAGTATGATAAGATATTGAATATGATATGATATTTTTTAGTATATGTTATCAGAAATTTGAAACTAATAAAATAAAAATGAAAGTCAAAGAGAGTTAGTGAGATAGAGATCAGATAATTTGGTACACGGTTCATGTTAAATTGAATAGGATCAACGTGAATAAAGGCAAAATTGTTTTCTATGAGATAGGGAACCATTTTCAATAGATCGAAAAATATCCCTATAAATTTGGTTGACTCGCAAAGAAGTAAAGTACAATTGGTTTCCGACGAGATAGAGCACCATTTCTAATGGACCCAAAAATATCCCTATAAATTTGGTTGATTTGAAAAGAAGTAAAGTACAATTTTCTTTCACGCATTTCTCGTTGAAAGTTTTTCATTACCCTCCCAAGTTGATTATAGATTATTCTTCCACACGTCACGTGTTGACACAAGTCAATTATAAATTATTGTTTCACACGTCAATTGTTGACACAACAAAATTAGTCTTAGTGTAAATATGTGTAAGAATTTCATATATTTAAAGAAAATAACTTTGACATTGTTATATTCCTCTAAAATGATTTTTAGATGTTTTATTTTTCATTATTATAATCTATATTTTAATAATAAGTCTTTAATTTTTAATCAAAGACCTTATCATATGAAGTAAGTAAATATGATATGAAATAAATAATAATAAACACGAATTTATTACTACTAAGATGACATATCTTATCTAGGACATACCTTAAAGTCAATAACTCTCACCTGTATTATATATAATCAGTCATATATAATAGAAATAATAGAATTTCAGTGACTAAATCGTGCGTACTAGTTAACAAGGAAAAATAAAACATTTAAAAATCATATTAAAGAAATGTAGTAATGTCAAAGTTATCTCCTTCAAATGTATGAAGGCGTTATCTTCTTTAAACATATGAATGTTTTACACGTATCTACATCGAGACTGATTTTAATACTTGAGATATGGAACAATAATTTGTAATTAACTTGGGAAGGCAATGAAAATCTTTCATTGAAAAATGCGTCATGAAAAAAAAAATTATACTTTACTTGTTTGCATGTCAGCCAAATTTACAGAGTGCACTCACAAGAAACAATTTTACCTTTATTCATGCTGACCCTAATTACAAAAAAAAAAACGCTTTCCTGTTTAATAGAACCATAGGTGTACCAAGTTATCCCGTCCCTATCTCACTAAGTCTCCTTGACTTCTCTTTTTATTTTGTTATTTTCAAATTTATAATGACATATCATACTAAAGATCTCATCAGTAAGTTACCATACATTTAAGATATTTATACTCAAATTTTATATTCATTGTATTTTTGGTTATAGTAAAAAATACAATAATATTCCACTTCAAAAAATATTAATTAGATAAAATTAACCTCTTTAATTTAATTAATAATATTTTTCTATTTAACATAGATTAGAACACTTGTAGTGTGTAATCATGGAGGTTCATTATTAACCCATAGTAAATTAACTCATTAATTTATTAATCAAAGGTTAAGATCTAACAACACTCCTTAATAACCAAGTAGCATGAAATATCTTTTCTTTTATAATCACTAAAAGATTCATATAATATTTCTTTCTATCTGTTCAACTCTATGTTAACTCTAAAATATGTTATAATTGTCACATTCTAATAAGTTAATACGTGATAAATTAATTAAGAAACATTTTTCTTCTTTCAGGTCTTTATTTTTATAAAGCTCAACCTCATTAAGAGTTTAATGAGGTTGATAAATTATTTCTTGATTAATCATTAATTCCACAACAATTTAATTATACCTGATAACCATTCAACTAACAAAGTATTATAATATAATAAATAACTTGTTAATTATCATGATAATCTCACGTCTAAGGAAATTATATATTTTTCTTTAAAAGAATTTCCTATTTACATTTCAAAAGTAATATTAATTATTAAGAATTCTCCCTTGAATCAGTTCAATGGTCATATCTTCATGTGCACAATTTATATGTGTAATTTAAAAAATAAGATTTATTAATCTTTATTTAATAAAGACCACTACACATATTGATTTATCTGGATTAAAATATTCTATCCTCAATAATTCTATGATAAAAACACTTTAAATAAAAATTATATATATATATATATATATATATATAATTTTTTATTATTATTATAATCTCTATTATAATAATAAGTTTTTAGTTTTTAATCAAGAATATTATCATATAAATTAAGTAAATATAATAATAAAATAAATAATAATAAATACAATTTTATTATTATTAGTATGATGTAAGACATACTACAAAGTTAATAATATTATATTATAATGTAATATTTTTTATTTATTCATATTGGAGTGTTGGTTATCAACAACAGAATGTGAGAAAAAATTGCTGATGAAATTTTAAATTGTAACTTTGAAACATTTAAAAATAATAAAAAATTTTATTTATAAAAAATATATAAGTCAATTTAAAAAAAATGTATTTGATAGTGTGATAAAATAAATTTACTCTTAACAAATTCTTTATATATATATATATATATATATATATATATATATCTAATAATAATAATAATAGTTCAAATAATAATAATTCATATGATAATAATTTATATAAAATATTATCAAACGATAATATATCAAAATAAATTAATAAAATAGTTACATAAATATTATAATTTTAATCAAGCATTTAAAGCTGTAAGAAATTATTATCTGACACCCCGTGGTTTATCACCCAATAGATAGTGGTACCATAATAAAGTAACGGTTTTATTCCAATTCCAAAACCATATGCAACAAATTAACCCTATGAAATTGGGTAGAGAAACCCTAGTTGATCTCATAGACGGGTTAGAAGCCACCCTTTCAATGATTAAGAAAAGGGAAATATAATTTTACATGTAAAACAGACAATGAGATAATCTTTCGGAGATAAGGAAAGCAACGAAAAGAACGAAGATTCTCTTTAGATTTCACCACTCCGCTCCACCTTTTATAAAAAACATACAAAAAATTTAAAGTACTTTTGAAAAAGCACGAATACATAATATAGTTTGATGTTCAATCTTATGTAACATAATATACTTCCAAATGTTGATAATAATAAAAATAAAAAGTTTCATTTTCTAGAATATAACGTGGGACAACGAGGAAACGGGGCATATACGATTACCCTTCAATAAAGCTCAACAAGTTAAGCCCGTGACTCAAGTTCTTGTTTTATTATCTAAGATAGCTCAAATATTTGTTTATGATGAAAATTGACTAATGATGCGGGACAGTAAGTTACAGATCTTAATCATTATTTTTGGGATCTTAAATAATATTCTATTTATAAATGATAAATAAATATTAAAAAGTGAAAAACATATGAAAAATGAGATATTAAAATTATAAAAATATAAATAAATATATTTCATCTTTCTTAAAAAAAAACTAAAATTATAAATATATATCTAAGTTATAAAATCATATATGCACGTGTAAGATGGTAGATATTCATAAATAAATTGATTTTTGTTTTTTGTTTTAAATGTTATTATGTTATTATTTGATGATAAAATAATATAAAAGAATATTAATTAGGACATGTTAGTAGGAAAATATTTCTATAGATTAGTTATTTATTCTTACAAATTAATTCTTTTGTATATATAATATGAATGATTTAGGAATAAAAATAAATATTTTATTATAAATATTATATTTTAATAATTTAAAAATTGGTTAAAATTATTTAAATAATAATATGTTTAATTCCATTTACTTCTAACACTTTCTCAAGTCTTAATAACATAAATTATTCTGAAACTATAATTTATTTTAGTGGTATTTTTCGAAGCCTAAAAAGTCTAACCGATTTCAATCTTATTTATAAATGCAAGATTAAAATAATAATAACTTTAAGGTTATATTTAAATTAGATGATGTATTTTAAGAAATGAAAATGAGTGAATTTGAATTGATTTGATAGATAAAAAATTAAGATTTAATTAATAAAATAATTAGATTAAATTTTGTATTTGACTTAAATAAATATTTGAGAATAAAATATAAATTAAATAAATAATATTAAAATTAGATATAATATATTATTTAAAATATATTATTATTTAATTATATAAATTTATTATAAAATAAAATATGAATTGAAATTAATTTTAAAAAATTGACATAATTTATTTAAATGAAATAATATTATAATTTAAATTAATAAAAACGTGATAAAAATGTAAATACAATTTGTGTAACTTATTTTTCTTCCCTCTTCTCCTCCTTACAACACAGGCCCTTCCGTTCCCTCCCTCAAATTCATTTTGCAAACGAAAACAATACTCTGATAATTGGTTTCCAAACGTCAGTTTGATAACCGGGGTCAAAATGTGAATTGCTGAAAAATGTGGGTGTAATTTAAAATTTAAAAGAGTGAGAAATGCAAAATTGTTAAAATGCAGGGATAAATTATCTCTCGTCACTCTCTCGTCAACTTTTGTTTATGCTCCAACTCTCTCGTCACTCTCTCATCCATTTTGTTTGGGGTTTCTGCTCCGTGATATCGGTTTCGTTTTGGTAAGAGTGAGGAGGCAAGAGTACCCGTGAGTCGTGACTGTTTTGCGGTAAGTCTTCGACTATTTTGCGACCCCTATGGTGAGTGTTCGATTTTTTTGACAATTGTTTGGGTTTCTGCTCCAACTCTCTCGTCACTCTCGCGTCCATTATGTTTAAGGTTTCTACTCCGTGATATCAATTTCGTTTTGGTAAGAGTGAGGAGGCAAGAGTACCAATTCCGTGAGTCGTGACTATTTTGCAATCCTTATAGTGAGTCTTCGACTTTTTTTGACAAATAACGATGAGTTTTGGACTGTTTTGTGAAAAGTACTCGACTGTTTTCATTGCATATTAATGTCCAACAAGTGTTTGATGAAATGGTACAATGAAAACAAAAATATGTTCTTAAAGGCTTGTGATTGAAATATGCTGAAATATTGAATGACTATATTCCTTATCTCATATGCTTCACTCTTTTTAAGAACCTTGAAATGAATAATATAATCCTAAGTGGGTCTAACGGGAATTTTTTGTTGAGTTATATATTTGAGCTGTGTTTTGGAATCTGGTTCTCGTCCACATTTCCAAATGATATTTCAAAAGTTACAAACACTATGCATAAAATATATCATTTTCTTAGAACTTTAATTTGTCTTGGCTTGTGGCAGATAAGCCAAAACTTTCATGAGTTAATATGTTGAAATTGTATTTGATCGTAATCCCTTGATGTTGCTAGTTTAGTGGTTTATTGGGATTCCATAGTCAGGTTCAAATCCTGATAATTTAAGTGTGATAAAACAATGTCTCGTTCTTTGTTTGTGTAACTATATATTCTTTAGAAATCATATTTTCTTAATGGACTCCTGGTATCTTGACATGAGAAACATTTTGAAAAGTATATTGGCTGGAAACTGAATAGTTAAGCTTTTCCCGATTAGGTTTCTTTATTATGAGTAAAAACAAGTTCAGATCACCATAGTCAGGTTCAAATCCTGATAATTTAGTATGATAAAACAATGTCTCGTACTTTGTTTGTCTAATTGTATATTATTTAGAAATCATATTTTCTTAATGGACTCCTAGTATCTTGACATGAGAAACATTTTGAAAAGTATATCGGCTGGAAACTAAATAGTTAAGCTTTTCCCGATTGGGTATCTTTATGAGTAATAACAAGTTCAGATCACTATATTCAGTTTCAAATCCTGATAATTTAGTGTGATAAAACAATGACTCGTACTTTGTTTGTGTAACTGTGTATTCTTTAGAAATCATATTTTCTTAATGGACTCCTGGTATCTTGACATGAGAAATATTTTGAAAAGTATATTGGCTAGAATCTGAATAGTTAAGCTTTTCCCAATTGAGTTTCTTTATGAGTAAAAACAAGTTCAGATCACCATAGTCAGGTTAAAATCCTGATAATTTAGTGTGATAAAACAATACCTCGTATTTTATTTGTGTAACTGTATATTCTTTAGAAATCATATTTTCATAATGGACTCCTGGTATCTTGACATGAGAAACATTTTGAAAAGTATATTGGCTGGAAACTGAATAGTGAAGCTTTTCCGATTTAGTTTCTTTATGAGTAAAAGCAAGTTCAAATCACCATAGTCAGGTTCAAATCTTGATAATTTAGTTTGATAAAACAATGCCTCGTACTTTGATTGTGTAACTATATATTCTTTAGAAATTATATTTTCTTCATGGACTCCTGGTGTCTTGACATGAGAAACATTTTGAAAAGTATATTGGCTGGAAACTGAATAGTTAAGCTTTTCCCGATTGAGTTTCTTTATGAGTAAAAACAAGTTCAGATCACCATGGTCAGGTTCAAATCTTGATAATTTAGTGTAATAAAACAATGCCTCGTACTTTGTTTGTGTAACTGTATATTCTTTAGAAATCATATTTTCTTAATGGACTCTTGGTATCTTGACATGAGAAATATTTTGAAAAGTATATTGGCTAGAAACTGAATAGTTAAGCTGAAAAGTATATTCTTTAGAAATCATGTTTTCTTAAAATCGTATGCCTAATCTGCACGTGGGTTGAAGTGTAGTATGCATGTAACCTACAATTTACTTTTTAAATAAGTACCATATGACCTAAATCCATCATTGAGATCACATGCAACTGTAACTAAGAAGAATGTAATAATGCAAGTTCCAAAAGGCATACACAAAAAGAAGTAATGTAATTGAAATAACATTTTCCTTACCTACAAGGTCCATCACTAGACTGCACCATCTTATGTATAGCACACTCCCTCTCAGGGTGAGCTAGTGAGATGGCTTTCAATATATTTGCAGAAATACTATTAAGATAATGTCCTAGTGTAGCATTTGTTGATGTAGTTTGTAAAATTTTAACGTAAAAATTGTATGCTTAAAATGTTAATATAGGTTATTGTTGTTTATTGTAGTCTTATATTGTTATACATCATCTAATATAAGGTTATTAAAATTGTTGGCTTGTAATGTTAGGTTATTACAATTCTCTCTTCCGAGTTATGAAAAATATGCTTACTTATATATCTTGTACAAATTTTCGTAGTTAATGCAATGAAATCAATTCATTAATGATTAACCCCTAATTTTCAGAGTGAAAAAGTTCTCCAGAGTAGCCACATTTCCCATAAACCTCAAAACTAAATTCCTTTTGCATAGTTTCTCAGGTAAGGTGTCCTTTCACTTCCTCATCACCACTTCTACTCTGTTTCTTCAGAGACATCTTTTAATACCCATCCTTTTGTAGGGTAAATTTTTTTAAAATAATCATCTCATAATTCCTATTAAATAAAATCAAACTTGTCAAAGATTAGAAACTTACAACGAATAATTTTTCAGCATTTTTTGGTCTCTTTCCCAATTTTATGGCAGCAACTGCTGCGACACCTGATGAAATTCGCATATGCAAAAGAAATAACATAATCAGCGTGAAAACTAATAATTTGAATACTTGAAATTAGAGAAGTATGGAGTTTGTATTTTACAGGTAAATCTGTATAGAAACTAATGTGAAATCAATAAGAGCTACAAATTATCATTGTCATACAAACAAACCATCTTTTAAAGTAAATAACTTAGCAGTTTCTATTGCTTCTTGACTTGATACTTGCAGTTTAGATCATGTTAGTTTTGACAAAATGTCTTTTAATAGTATAATATTGTATAACATGTTTGTACTAATTATAAAACATTGTCTGTCTTAGTTTATAATAGGAAAGTTTGTATACTAAAACAATTTGACCAAAATTTTCATAATGTCCAAATCCAAGAGGGGAAAAACACAAAAGGAGCAAAAACTCAATCAAACCAAAATAAAACAACACATGAGATACAATAGTCAAAACCCAAAGTAAAATCATACGTATTATTATATCTAAACACATACCCAACCGTAAACCCAACTACAATCTACAGTCACAAACATATATATATATATATACCTTTGACATACCTCTTCCTTTTAGTCGTGTTCCTTGTAGATTTGGAGATGTTGGTCTTTGTAGAATTTTTTTTTACTCGTGGAACTTCACGTGTATGTCTTACAAAGATACACATATAATAAATAGGTCATTTACAAAAATACCCTTATTCAAGTTTTAAAATTGCAATCAATATGAGCCACTGATTTAGTTATCCGTAAAGAGGTAAAAACATAACTCACTCTTTGTGTACTTGAGCAAACCCAGACTGAAGATTTTTCTGGTGGATTACTGTGATAACAGTGCAAGAAAAATAGGTACTTCCTCACTTTTGCATTGTTTGTTGGGAACAACTCATCTGCTATTGGTTGCTGGATTAAGTTATGTTTGAACATAACATTTATAATTTTTGTTTTGGTGTAAATGTTTCCAACTTATATACCTTCGTATTATTTTGTTATCAATAACAAGAATTGTATCCTTCATCGCTTATCTGCCATGAGAGATATCACTGAAAATAGAAATTTACCTGTCAATGAAGACATTTTTGGTGTGTATGATGATGTAGCTAGTGATGCGAATGTAACAAGTCTAGAACAATGTCATGGTTTTCTCCGAGGTGTACATGAAGACATGTTGAGTGTACATGATGACGTATCTAGTAATGCAGATGTAACAAGTATACAATAATGTGATGGTCTTGTCCCAAGTGTAAATAAATGTTGATTGGGCATGATGAAAGGATCTCCTGATACAGATGTGAGGACTACAAAACAATATGATAGTTGTGTTCCATGTGTAGGAATGTCCTTTGAAACTGCAATTGCAGTTAAGTAATTTTTTCAACAATATGCCACACAAAGGTTTTGGCATCAAAACTAGGAGTTTAAAGAAGGGGCTCGATAACCAATTATCGTACTTCATCTTGGTATGTGCAAGGGCGGGTAAGTATGTTTTTGCTACACCTACTGAAATTAGAACCCAACCTACCAAAACAAATTCATATCTTGCACGAATAACAATTAGATTAAAGGAAGACCTATGGTATATTATGTCGATAAATGATGAACATTCACATTCTCTTAGCCCAACGGCATCAAGAATGTTTCATAGTAATAAGAAGATTAGTGTGCATGTGAAGAATGCTTTAGAAATAAATGATGATGCAGATGTCAGGATCAACAATAGTTTTCGGTCATTTGTTAGTAGTGCAGGAGGTTATGAAAACCTCTAATTTGTTGAACGAGATGTACGTAACTATGTTGGTAAACAAAGACGTGCATTAGGAAAGGAAGGTGATAGGAAAGTTCTATTAAATTATTTTTCACAAATGAGGAAAATAAATAAAGATTTTTATTTTGATAGAGTTAGATGATGATAATCGTGTGAAAAATGTTTTCTGGGCTGACACTAGAAGTATGGTTGCTTGTGAATATTTAGACGATGTTGATTCATTTGATACAACATACTTAACCAATAAATATGACATGCCTTTCGCACCATTTGTAGGTGTAAATCATCATGACCACTCCATCTTGTTAGGGTGTGAGTTGTTATCAACTGAAGACAACACTTCTTTTATATGGTTATTTAAATCATGACTACGTTGCATGTCATTCAAGGCCCCTATGGATATTATCACTGACCAGTGTAAGATAATGCAAAATGCCATTCAGATAGTGTTTTTTGAAACCCGTCATAAGTGGTGTCTATGACACATAATGAAAGAAATTCT